AGTCACCACCGTCAGTTCTAAAGTCACCACCGTCAGAGGGCTTTTTATTCGTTTTAAATGAATATGCTTGCAATATGTTTCTTCAGTGCTGTTCTCTCATTAAAGTAATAGTCTCTTTTAATACAAAAATATGTTTGTTAAATAAAAAAACATGACTTTTTCTATTTAGGCTTAAAGTAAACGTTATCTGATGTTAGATATTTTAAAGGACTACACTTGAAAAAAATTAACAAAAATGAATATTCAACATTTAACAGCATAAATGTGTGCTAACAATGCCAGATAAAGATTTAAAAACTCTAAATACTTATTAGACCAAATAAATAAAAAATAATTAGCTTTTTATTGTGTTTGATGGTGTTGACAAAAACAAAGTAATAACTGGAAAAATGCCTATTTTATGAAAGAAATACAAAATGAGGAGGTTGCACCTGTACACTGCTGAACAGCCAAGACCTTGGTCTATAACAATATACCTTCAGATTTTGTAATCCAACTAACTTTTTATTTTCAAAATTAAAACCTGTTTTATCCAAATTCCCAAGAATCAGTGATTTAAATATGACCTATGACTTTAAAAAGTTAAAAAAAGGAGACTAAGAATAGCATCCATCAACTTAGCAGCCACATCTTAACACCTCGGCAGCTTCAGCTTCCTCTTCAGATAGAATCAATATTCAGACTGATCTCGGACTTTCCTTCATTATTTTTACTCCTGGGTAGGAGGTGCTAACTGGCTTAGCAACAGTAGGATACTTTCTTGTTAACCACATGCGCACCTGTAAATAAACACAAAGGGCTTTTTGTACTTACAAACTAATCAAAAGGCAAAATAACAAATAATATACCAGCAGGATATAAAAATCTGTAAGAAAAATATTATATGCAGCCAAAGTGAGCTACTAGCATATAACAGGACATGTCAAATAATGGGACTTTATTTTTATGCATAATTTTACTAAAAGTGGGATAAATCCCTGTGATTTTAGGAGTGTCTGTAAGTGGATCAGGTTTTGGTGTGTTTTTCATCTATTAAACAGATTTAACTTTTCAGTTTTCATGAGCTAATTCTTTACCTTTCAGGACTGAACTGGAACATCTTCGTTTTTAAGCTGTTTAATCTTATTCAAATGAAAGTCCTGCAGGAGTTTCCACAAATTGTTTCAACTAAGATAATATTTGAAAGATGTCTGGGTCTTTCCAAGTGTCTTGTGATCAGATGTTTCCTGGTCGTCCTACAGGTGGCGTGTGCGATGAGACGGCAGATAAAGCCTTGGAGGCCATGAAGAACGGGGTGAGCTGCAGCCGAGGGAAGATCGCCATCTTGGCGAGGTGTAATCTGGGCGTCTTTAAAGGGGCGGTCCAACTATCGGATGCCAACCAGCAGTGCCGGATCCACTTCATTGGAGTACGTGTTTATGTGCAAGAACCCAATGTTTGGAGGTGGGGTTTATGTTTCTCCTGTCCTATATAGGTGATGTTTTTCCTTTTTTCTATTGCAGGGTGTCAAAAACATCGGGCTGGAGAAAATAATGGACATCTACCACCTGATGAAGGAGGCAGGACAGGAAGCCAAAAAAAAAGGCAAGATCTAAAGTTCATTTTCCTCATCAGTTCGTGATAAAAGAACTGAAGACGTTAAACGTCTGTGTTCGATGTGCTTCGCCCTCTCAGCCATCAAGGACCCCCTCATCAGGTCCTTTACCTCCAGTAAGAAAAAAGAACCCTACTTGGCCTTTAAGGACTACGTCACACAAACCGAGGACAAGGAGCTGGACGGGAAACTGACCATTGTGGAGCAATACAGGGACCGCGTCCCTGCGCTGGTGGCCCGGCTAAAGGCGTGCTATGAGAGCGACCTAAAGGGTGCAGGTACGCATTGAGAAGCACACAGGCTCCGGTCTGGATGACTCATACACTAAGAAAGCTAATGTCAGAGGATGATGTGGAAAAAAGGTTTTCGGGAAGCCCTAAGGGAGGCTTTTTTTTCCCTCACTGTACTCTGTTGTTTTTTTTTTTATTTAGAGTAGAAGTATTTTATTCTCTGTCTCAATTCGAGGCTAAATCAATTCAATCCAATTCAGTTTATTTATATAGCTTCAATTCACAACACATGTCATCTCAAGGCACTTTACATTTCACCAGATCATACAGTCAAATCGATTCAAATATATCTAGCTAAGGAAAACCAGTTGATTGACTCAAATGCAATCCCTCACAC